TCTCTCTCTCTCTCTCTCTCTCTCTCTCTCTCTCTCTCTCTCTCTCTAAACATTAAGTAATTTGCACATTATTTTAATTCAAGAACCTGTGCTTCCAGCCTTAGTAAAGCTGGATAATTAGCTCTTTTAAGATGGAAGATGAAGTAAAACCCAACAGTTTAATTAAAACTAACCACAAACAGTTCTTAAAAGCAGCGTTACCGTTTTCAACTTCTCTTTTCAGATTGTCCAACATGCAGTCATAATGTACTCTACAAAGGACTTTCTCTTCAACCAAAGCAAACTCCTCTCCGGTAGAAAGCTGTCTTTTGCAGGAGAAGCAGGCGAAACACGCCAAGTGGTACACATTTCCCTTAGCCCTTCGGACCCAGTCTGTGGAATGAATGTGCCTCCCACAGCGGGAGCAGCGCGTGCCGTACCGCCTGCAAACAACGAAGGCCAACAGAAGGCTGGAGTCAGATGCTAGCCAACCCAGGCTCAATGGTTGCTCCAGCAAGGTTAGCAGAAAGTGGATGTGGAAGCACAGCTGAAATCCACAGCAAGAAGACTGACCACACAGAGCCAGAGGACCACGTAACCGTGCTTCTACAACAATAAAATCAGCAAGGTCGCATCTGATAACTCAAGGCAAGATCTCCACTGACCTATAAAAGTTAATAATTTACTTAAGGCAAAGAGCAACATTAAAGCATTTAAACTGCTATGTGAACTCACAAATCTCGCCCTTCCTTTTATGAAAGTCATCTCTGTAAAGTTGTGGGTGGGAGATCGGAACAGCTGGCTTCGTGCTCGAAATTCCCCCGGTTATTCAAACACGTTTCACTATACAGGCAGCCCAGGTTACTTAGCTACAGCAGCCTTCACTGTTCATTGTCCCCTTCTGCTGAAGGGGAGAGAGCCTGCACCTCCTTTTTTTCCTTAGTTATCATCACATTTATGATTTTATCATCTTCAATAGAAGTTCAAAGACAGGCAAATACTTACAGTGTTACTGTATAACGTTGTTCTTTCGAGAGGAAACTGACAGCCAGGTTATGTTGGATTACGTAAATGAACATAACTTTGTTTTTCCTCCCCCAAAGTTCACCATCCTCAGCCTCAGCTGACAATAATCCACTCTCTGTACAGATGTGAATCCCATAAATATTTTGCCTGAGGAAAGTACTAGTGATCACAGCAAATTTTATTCCTGCTTTCTGCACTGAAGATTCTCTTATCTTGAGCACTGAGGCCATAAGTGTCTTTCTATGCCACTCAGAATTAATAATATTCTCCCTTATGCAATTAGATCCTAATATTAAGAATGCCTCATGTTCTAAATCAAATTGATCCTAGAAAGGTGTAGCTGCTGAAATCCTTTTTAAAGGTTAAAAGACTGACTTGGAGTTAATAACAGCATGTGGTATCCTAAGTCTCATACCCAAGTGCTAGTCTGAGCAGAAAATCATCTCAGCTTGGCCTTGTCATCTTAGTCAGCATTACACTAAGAACGATTCTTTGCACATAAACTAAATTTACTGTTATTTTGATAGACTTTGACTAACACCCACCCTCCCCTCGTGTCCATAGAGGTGAGTGACTAGAAATTCAATAGCTGGCACAGATTAAGTAAGAGGTTTGTTATGTAGTTGCATCAGACAGGTGTGGGGCTTCCAGGTCCCTCTGCCATAAATAGCCATTTAATTGCTTACAAAGTGATAAACTATATGCATGTCAATAAGCGAGCAGTGAGAACCTAAGCACCCATTTTATTTACAGACTAAGCAAAACAAGCAAGCGTGAAATTTTGTTAAATAAAATGCTACTGCTGCATGGCATACCTGAAATAATCAAGTTTGCAGAAGATATCCTTATCTTTGATGTAGCAGCTGGTGTGCCTGCCGAGGGACGTTCTGCAAACACTGCACGAGAGACAGCGAACGTGCCAGCAGAGGTCGTTCACCTGCAAGAACACCGAAAGAAAAGAAAAGTACTCCTCAGAGCTTGCGCTGCCAGCATGCATACTTGGTACTTACAAAAACTATTTTTTTTTTCATGCAACCAGAAAAAGGCAGAAATGACATGTGCTATGATTCACGGAAAATAAATCCTCAAGGCAAATCTGCCTATAGAACCGCATGTGTTAGGGGCTAATGAATGTGACAAAAGTCTTCAAAATAAGCTTTCATGGCTTTGTAATTCAAAGCACAGGAAGAGGAAGCAGGAGATCCAAGTTCCACATGGATATTTGGTGCCTGGCTCTGTCCTCACATTATTGGGTTAACAGAGCAAGTTCTGGCATCACCTTACTGCTAACTTGCACTCTGATTTCCTAACCTGCAAAATCTGTCTACAATGAACAAAATCTGCAAAGTGATTTGAAGTTTTACAGTGCAAACACTGAAGAAAAAAAGCAAAACAGTCTGTCAAGTAGAAACACAACATGAGCTGCATCTTACCAGACGGCTGGTAAGCACAGCTGGTAAACGGAGTGGGAGCTCTGAAACATCAGTGGTTGTTTTACAGCTAATTCAAAAATTGTTTAAAATATAATATCCATAGTGCAATTACAGCCTGGAAAGCAGCAGCAAATCAGGGGCTTTGAGAAGTCATGGGTAAATTTTGGGCAAATAAGTTACCCAGAATTTTCATTTCTTCATTCTTATAAAGATAATTCTTCATTGTGCAGACATTCTGCACCACCCATCAGACAAATCATTTCATTTGAAAATCCAGTACTCCCAATGACCAAAAAAATTAAGTGATAACCCCATGGATAATTCTGTATCATACAGGAGAACTTCTGTGATCCAAACAATGTCAACGGGAAAACTTATGTGAACCAAACAATAAACAAGTTTGCATGTGTACTATTTCCTTTAAAAACTTGCACACCGATTTTCCATCCCATAGGGAACAGCAGGTTTGCCAGCCCTTACATGAGGAATGGCAAAGCAGGGATCTGCGTGAGCCGGGATGTGCCTTCCGTAAGAGCGCTGCCAGACAAGACACAGAGAAAGCGCGATGCTGGCTGACGGGTCAGGCTGAGGCAGACCATTGCAGTCATCCTTCATGTAATACTGCAGCTCGCAGTCACCCGGTGCTCTCCCAAGATCTATCCTCGTTGGCAGCCATAGTTTCACATACTGACAAATTTGCACCACAGTATAACGTGAAATCGTTGATAACAGCTGTCACCAAATCAATCCTCTCAACTATTTTGTTAGATGGGCACAGTGCAGGCGAAAAGGATGGCAGCACCAGGGCCGGTTGAGCGCGCTCCACAGCAGGGCTGCCAGGGGATCAGCTCCCCCCGCCCAGCAGGCAGCCGCGCACCGCTCTGCACGGAGCCCCACGCACGGACCACTCGGCACAGGCTCTTCCACAGAGCTTTGTCACACAGCTGACGTGATGCCACCCACCTGCCTTTATCATTGTACGGGGCTGAATTTAGGAGACCTAACTGCTGCACATCAGTAAGACGTCTCCCGGTTGTCTTTCCCTATCTATACAGAAAGGAATGATGTTTAAGTTGAAGTCAAAATAGTCATTTGGGGATCTTTTGCTCTGAGCTGCATTTACACAACTTCTCAAAGAGCAGATAGCAACATTCAGGAGATGAGCAAGCAGGATGCCGCTGGAGTTCACAGAACCAGAAGCAATTTTCTGTCATCCCTGCTCCGTTATCCTGCTCCGAGTGCAAACGCACATACAAAGGTACGCACATACAAAGGTGTCCGGGTTTAACGGAACAAAAGGCATGCGGAAGCTCTCCACGACCTGCGCATACCCTGCTTTAAATGAGTGCCGACCTGGCATACGCATTCCTTTGACCTCCTCGTTACAACTGGACTCTAAAGAAAATTACCTAAAAAAAAGAACATTCACATTTTCGGTGATGCTACAGACTTCCACTTTGCAGGATATATTATGAATTCAGTCTGCATCTGTTGGAATCGAGCGACCTAAAGCACAACTTTCTAATCTCACTTCTGAAAGGACAGAAGGCAGGACTCTGACCCAGCATAACTTCAGTGGCTGCAATCCAGATGGAAAATTGCCACCTTCGAACTGCCTTGACATCTTATATTCAAAGCCACACTTTTGTTAAATAATCATGCTTAGTCCTGAATGCTAAAACTAGCAAAAACACTTTTCAATCATGCCAACTTCTCAGAAATTACTAGAACCCCTTTTCGAAGGAATACATAGTTTCCACCTTCTGAATAGGCGCTGCTTTCCTTTCGGATTCACAGCATCGCACCGAGTTCTTTAAGCTAACAGCGAACGGGTCAGTGCTACCAACTGCTTTATCAGGAGCATACAGCACAACCAACACGTTACCCACACCAGCGTTCCTTCTCACTCCCTTATGAAACACGAGAAGGATACGCAGCCCTAAAGCAGGAGAGCGTCCTCACAACACAGGTATTGCTTCAGATCTCCTGTGAGGCCCGAATCTCACAGACGCACGCTTCAGAGCTTTGAAAACGTCCGATTCTGCAGTAATTCTACTCATCTCTGCAAGTCGAAGAACAGGCTCAGATGTTACGGATGCCGACTGCGCAGCAACGGCGATGAAGGAAAGCGGACGAGAAGCATGCGATAGAAAGGGCAGGACTCCTCAGAGCTCGGCCGTCCGCCCGCAGCGCCATCGCGTTTTGCCACCGCACTCAAATCGGCCGTCAGATGCGCAGGACGCGGCACGGCTGCGAGACGCCGGAGCCCCGCAGCCCGGCTCGGCCCTCCCCTCCCCGCACGTCGCGGTGCCCGCCGCGGCGCTCCGCCCTCCCCGCGGTTCTCGGGGTGCGGGACCGATACGGCCGCCTCGGCGGTGGAGAGGCGCGGGGCCGGCGGGACGCGCTTACCTTCAGCAGGTACTTGTCCACGATCTCCAGGCCGCAGCTGCTGCACACGCACTTGCTGGGGGCGCAGCCGGAGCCAGAGGCCATGGACCGCGGCGAGGAGGAGGGCGACAGGGCGGCGGAGGAAGAGCAGGAGTCCTCGTCTGCCGCCGCGGGGCTCTCCTGCGGGGAGCGCACAGAGAGCTCTATGAGCGCGATCCGCCGCCGGCCTCACGCAGAAGCGGGGAACGCCGCGGGGAGCCCCGCCCGGCCCGACCCGTTCGACCGCGAGCACCTGCGGGGCCGCGCCGAAGCCCCACGGGTGGGTCACGGCGGGAGCCGGAGCTCGTCCGCCGAGCGGAGGCCGAGGGACCCGAGCGGGGAGAGACGGAACCGCCGGCGGCCGCGGAGCACACAGCCCGGGTCCCGTCCCGCACCGGGCAGCGGCGCGCGTCCGCTCACCTTCTCCGAGGGGCCGCCGAGCGCGGGCAGGTCCTTATCCTCCAGCCTGCACACGAACATCGGGTCGCTCTTCCAATACATGGCCCGGCCCTACCGCATACCAGCTCCGCGAAGGGCGGCGGAGCGCCACGAGGCTGCTCCGGGAACCTCGCTCTGAGCCTCTGCCCTCGGCGCCTGCCAGAAAAAAGTTTTGTGTGTGAGGGGGTGGGCCGTGCCGCGCGAGGACGGCCTTCCGCGCCTGCCTGCTCTGCCCTCCCGCGCAGAACCCGCCTCCGAGCGCTGCGGCGGCAGCGAACCCGCACCGGAGCTGTTAGACAGCAAAGAGCACCGTCAAGGAAAAAAGAAAAAACCCAAAGGACACCACATACTCCTCCTCTTTCCCCCCTCCTTCCCTCCCCGTTTATCTTCGTCGTTTGTCACAGCTTCTCCGCCTCCAGCCCCCCGAGACTAAACAAAAATTCGAGCTGCATCTCCCTCCACATCACCGAAGGAACGCAGCGGTGCGGGTGCACCGAGCCTCTCTTCCTGCACGCGCACTCTTTAATCTCCGAGCCCCTCAGCTGAGCACAGCTCTGCGGCTCACGCACTCCAAGCGCCGTCTGCGCCGTGTTCGCGCGTGCCTACGCCGCCCGGATTCCATTATGAAACCTTTCTCGTTAAGCTAAAGAAGGAACACCTGAGGTGACCAAAGGCCGTTGTTCTGAATTCAGCCTGTTGCTAATTATCACCGGTGTGTTCGTCTGCGCTGCATTTGGAGGCTGCTCGGGGCCGACCGCCCGCAGCACTCCCAAAAACCCGGCCGCGTCCCCTAACGGAGGGGCTCCCTGTGTTACTTGCGCGTTTTTACTACGATTACAAACGCTCCTCCCAGAGTTTTCCCGACTACTGCCGCGCTCGGGACGGTGCAGAACGAGCAGCCCACCCGCCGCAGATGGCGGCGATAGCCGCGGACTGCTGCTCCGCGAGTGCTGAGCCGGGCAGGTGACGCTAATTAAACCTGCCGTTACATCCCCGTCCTGTACACCTCTCTTTGTGAGCTTACTCCGATGACAGATGGTGAATTTTCTACAAGGCAAACGGAGAGAGCTGCCGCTATGCGGTAGCGCTCTGAGTTTGAGAAGAGGGAATTTTCAGTTTTTGAGGCGCTGTAAGAAAGGATGAACCCCATACTCCTCACTCCCCTTTCGCCTTTCTTTCGGGTTTGGGGCCCTGTCTACGAGACTGGGACGGAGCCCCACGTACCGCTGCACCCCGCTCGCTTGCGCGGCGTTCTAACCCCTCGGCCCGGAAAGAATCTCACTTAAATCACCCTTAGGACCCCAACAGCTGCCGCCCAGTAACGTAGCCGGGACGCTGGGGGACGCGGTGCTTCTCTCTAAGTGCAGCGAAGTTCGGGACGGCGCGGTGGAAGCCGTCCGGCCGCGGTGGGCAGCGGGAGCGCTGCGTCCCGCCGTGCCCCCCTCCCCCCCCCCCCGTGCTCCCCGCCCCAGGGGAACTCTGCGCCCCGACGGGCGGGGCGGTCCGGAGCGCCTCCGATCCCCGAGCGGTCCCGCGGCCCTCCGCGCACACCTAGGAGCGGCTTTCGGGCGTCTCCCCGCCCGGGTACCTGCACGCCCACGGCGCCGAGCGGATCGCGGAGGGGAGGGAAAGGCTACGGCCCCCATCGTCGAAACGCGGCCGGGAGTGCCGCTGCAGGAGGCAAGCGGCGGAGAATCTCTCTCCGTCCGTCCTGACCGCCTGACCTTCCCCGTCAGATAAATCCCGAGGCACGGCACGAGAGCTATCGCCTGTTCCAGATGGCACCGCGGAAAAGCGGCACCTGCCCTGGGGGTCGCCAGAGAGATGCGACGTGGAGGAACCAGAGGCAGAGAGCCGTGGAGGAGGCCGGGGGCCCCTGCAGCGCCCTTCGTTGCGCCTTCGATGCTTTCCCCTCGGTACTAACGAGTTTACTGCGCAGTGTTGGCGTGCGCTTCACGAAAGGCTGCGTTTTGGATTTCTGTGAAGCAGCGCCTTCCTGCACGCGCACCTTTAATCTCTGATAAACACAGCGTCAGGAGCCAACAAAATCCTTTCGCGCGTTGTTTCCCGCAGCGATAGCAAAACGCGCAGCAGTAATTCATAAGATGTGTGCTGGAGGAAGGAAAAAAAAACGCACGGGAGATTTATCGGTGTTTCTTCTCGTTCTCGGTGCACGCGGCCGCGATTGCACCGCGCCCCTCAGCCCGTCCCGCGCGGCTCCCCGCGGCCCCACCCGCGCTCTGCTCCGTTCCCGCGGCCGCGTCGTTCCCGCGCGGCGCTCTGGGTCCGGCCGGGGCCGATCCCGCGGCCAGGAGATCGGCGGCCCCAGGGACGCGAAGCCACCGAAGGACGCGAAGACGACGCGCCTCGGGACCTCAGGCGGAGACAGTGAAGCTCGGCTACTTCCTCAAAGTCCTGTCTAAACTTCTTCGCTTCGGTTACCCGCTCTCGGAATATTAGTAAGTATCGCTAGCGTAGCATCGTTTTTGAGGAGGTGAAAGCAGGCGGCCGCACAGAACTTAGTGGCAGGGAGCAGCGGGCCGAGGGGAGCGGAGCTGCCGGGGGCGGTCTGGGAGGGCCCGTGCTCGGCCTCGTCCCGTCGGGACTGAGAGCGCTGCGGAGAACCCGGGTGGGAGCGCGGAGTTCCGTGCGCGGAGGACCCTCCGATGGGGGACCTCGTCTGTTCCTCTGAGAAGTAATGCAAGGACAGATGGAGGAAATGCTAATCATCTGCGCGCAGGTGAGATCTTTTAAATACGTGACGGCAGGGCACGGGGCTGAGCGCGGACAGCAAGAGTTGTAACGAGAGGGTGTTGGCACTGGGCTTCTCGAGCAAAAAAAGCACAGCGGAGCACTGCGTGCGGCGGGACGCCTGTCTCGGAAGGGAGCTCCAGCAAAACGTATTCACAGCGAAAACGAACGGGCTGCTGAGAAATTAAACGTGGCACCGCGGTCTGTTTGCAAAAAGCTGACACCGACACCAAACTGTGGACAATCTGAGCTGCCGCTTCCGATTGCCCTGCCGGGCTCGGCCCGCTGTCGTCGCCTACCGCTCTGGGTGTCCTCGGAACAACGGCCGAAGGCTCTGGCCCACCCGCGCCTCCGCCACAGCCGGACCCGGGGAGGTGCGGCAGGTTTGGACTGAGCGCGGGGCTGCGGAGGCGAGCGGCGCTCCGCTCGCGGTGTTTCACATCGCTGCCGAGGGGAACGCGGTCCGCCCTGCGGGATGGAAATGAGCTTCCTCTGCGCAGCCCCGTCTCGCACCCTCACCTCCCCGCTTGTTTATGTCCCGCGGGGGTCCCCGCGCCCCCCGAGGCAAGGCGAGGACCGCCAGCAGACGCTGCCGTGAATCCGTGCGGTCCGCTCTTTGTGCAGCCCAGGTCCACGCGGTCCCTTTCTTGGCCAGCAAGCTGTCTGGAAAGGAGAGATGGGTTAAAATGCGAAACTGATAACTGTGGGGACAACATTGACTTCCATGCACGTTGCCTTTCCTGTCTCAGGCATTCTCTTTCTCATGCTTTAACATTTGCCCACCTATGGGTATCTGGAGGCTTTTCATCTCTAGGTCTCAGCATCCTGATCTCGGGGGGATGGGGATGGGGGGGATGGATTGGCAGCGGCTCTGTGGCGGAAGTCAGGCAACGAAGTGAAGCCAGCACACTTGGGCTTTCTCTTTGTGAGTTCTCACTCTCCCTGGCTCCAGCCTCTGGTGAAAGCTGCAGAGTTTGGACTACTCCTGAATTTCTGTTTCTGGACTGGGTTAGCAAGAAGTAAACCAATCGAGTCAGTCTCTTACCCGTAACTTGTTTTCCATACCTGTGTAACGCACTTTCCTTGGGCAGGGCCGTTTGTCTCCAGCTCTTGGGTCCAGCATTTTCTGTATCTTTTGCTCATGACTATTCCAGCATGGAGCTCTGTGTCTCTTGGTTGGGAATGGCCAGATGGGTCTGAGGGAAAAGTTTCTGTGTCCGACTTGGATGTGTGAGACAGCGGCTCCCTCGCCAAAGTTCAGAACCTCACACAATGTACGTTTTTATTCTTTACTTTGCAGGAGGTGTAAGGGCAGAGGAGGCAAAGGACAAGTAGGGTGTTAGTGGGATACAGCCCTGCATTTTTTAAGGGCAGTGGCCCTTGCACTGCAGGAGGAAGTGCAGAGTCATTTCAGCGCCCTAGAGAATAAGGGCAGTAATGTTGCCCTTTTTACTCTTTGTTGCACTTCTTGGTCCCTGCACTGTGAACAGGTATGTGAAACTTGTTCGAGTGGAGTGCTGTGTCTACGTGTTCCTGACGCTTTGGTGAAAACTTTACATAGAAGTTGACTTTTCGAGTTTGTAAACATCTGTGCTAGTTGTACCATACTGTCATGCAGACAGAGAAAGTGTTGTGGACAGACGAAAATAAAGCAGCAGTCGAATGTTATGAAAGAGCATTTTGCCCTTAGCAGAACCAACACGGAAAGCATCGACTATGTTCAGAAATACACGGCTACAAAACTTACTGCCTGCTTTCCGTTGTAGGAACGTCCTCTTCTCTAAGAGCGCAGTAACTCCACGCTGAAGGGCCCGAAACGTTTCCCTGGGCTGTCGGATCTGCCCGCTTAATTCCTTTCACTTTTGTTTACGCGCTGAATAAACACTGCTCTGTGGCAGCAGACCTGAGCCGTCAGATGGAATCGGGGGGCGGCGGGGGGCCGCCGCAGCGTCTCGCGCAGCAGCTTCAGTCACCGTCGGTGAGGACAAAGCGCTCTTTTTTTTTTCCGCCGGGCGCCTTTTGCCGGGCCGCGGAGGGGCGGCCGCGTCGTCCCTTCCCCGCCCCGGCCTCTGCGGAACGTCCGAAGGAGGACGGGTTCGGTCCGCCGACCCGAGCCGCCGCTCCTCGCCGCAGGCGCGCGGTGACCGGCCGGAGGGGAGCGCGGGGCTCCGCGGCTGCGCTCCGTTCTTCGCCGTCGGGCTGCCCCGGCCCCGCGGGTCGCGCCGCGCTCTGCGCACGAGTTGGCAGCGGCCGCCGCGGGCGGAGGCTGGAGGGAAAGAGCACTGAAACAATTGAGATGGCAAAGAAAAACATTTGGAGACGAGGCTGTTGAAGCGAAACTTCCCGGTGGCTCCGAGATCGAGCCGTCGGGCGAGAGAGGGCGTGGGGAGGGCGGTGCGGGACGGTCCCGGGCTCCCCCGGCGCCGAGGACCGGGGTCGGTGCTTCCAGCCTCCGGGAGCTCCCAGGGCGGCGGGACCCGGACTGCGGCTTTCCGACAGGCGAACGCCCCCCTGTAACAGCTCCCAGAAAGGAGAGGTCCTAGAGTGAGCACAGGGGCAAATACAAATTACGGGCAGGAGAATAGGGTCTGCGGGTCTCCTCGCGTGAGCTCGCTTGCAGAGCAGGCGCCTGCCTTTGTCTTTCACAGGACCTTCCTTCATCTGAGTCGTACCACCGAATGCCAAGCGCAACTCAGGGCAGGAATCGGAAGTTACTCGTTTCAACGAATGAAAGCTTCCCTCCCTTACACGCCAACAAATGCTTTTCAGAGAAAAGCTACATTTGCTGCCTTGGGATGACATCCCTTCTCTTTCCAACGTTGAAGGCCGTGCTTTGGCAAGCAGCATGCACGGTGTGATCCTTAGTCCCATCTTCTCACACGTACCATACTCTGAGCACAACAGAACTCTTGAAGTGTGCTTGCTTTTGCTTGACATTTAGTCAGGGATTTCTAAGTTGCTAATTATTCACAGATTTCATCTTTTATTTTTTTTTTTTTCCCTGGAGCTCAACTGCAGATGTTCGGGGGGCTTTGCCTCAAGTAATGCTTAGCTTGGTAGAAAACAGGAATCAGGTAACTGTGTTACCTCTGAGGCTGAGAAAGGCTCTCAGACTTTGTGTTGGGACTTTCTGGTGAGGTGTCGCTACAAGGAACTCTTCCTTGCCGTGTGAATTAAAGGACAGATTCATTTCTTTTCACAATGTAGGCTTTCATAATTTTCCCCAGCTAGTTTCTTACTTTGTAGACTGATAAAGTGCTCACTATGCGAATTAAAATGAAAACGGCTGTCAAAAGAAGCACATTTGGGCATCCCTAGCTGGAGGTGTTCTGTTTACTGAATTGTCAAGCTGGGAAGGAAGCTCATGGAAAAGGTGATTAATTTGTACCAGATCTGAAAACCACAGAGGATCTCCAGATCCCAGTTTCCTACCCACAGGTTACAGTTGCCAGAATATTTGCAAATATGTATGAACAAGAAATCAAGGCTCACACAAGATTTATAATTTTGTGACCAGTACGTACAAAGTGCTACTGCAATCCTCTGAAATAAATTTATTTTGAAAGTGCAGCTGCAGGTGTTCAGTTGGTGTCCTAAGCAGAAATAAGGGACCTCATTGCTCTTTTATCTAACCCTTGACTGACATGTGATAGGGGAAATGGGGGAAATTTTACTTAGTGCCAGTGTGATGTTGCTGTAGAGGAGAATTAAATGTGCAGATAGTGTTTCAGCCCAGACATTTACTTTTGTTGAATTCTGTGCTTGGAATTAGACAGGTACTTCTGTGCAGAGGGCATGGTATGGGAAATGTCAGCTAGGTTTAACACAGTCCTTTTGTTCACCTGCTTGTTTGTAGAAGTTTTCTGAGATCGAATATTCATTTACACAAAAGCACACTGCTCAGTGCCTCGTGCATCTGTGAGCACACTGCAGCTCTGACGTTGAGGGATCTGGATCCAGCCCTATTCGTGATGTGACCAGCAGGACCTCTGGCTATTCTGCTACTGAAAGAAGAGTTTTACAGAGCATAAGTTATAGAAAAAGTTGCAGAACAGATTGATAACTTACAGTGCATTTTACTTTGCATGCATTACCTTAAATTCATTGCTCACATACATGTTGTTGCAGGAGTTGTCCTCACTGCTCTGCACAGAACCGTCTGCTTTGCAGGGCCCAACAGCCATCGCGCTCTCACGTTATGCTCTCAATATGCCTTGAGCCCCACAGTGAAAGTTTGACAAAAGATAGCGTTTTACTGATAACCTAATAGCCTTTTCATTACTTCCATTTGGGTTATGAGGAGAAGAGAGGGGAAGAGGGAATCACTGGAGATCTCAAAGGCAACTGTTTCAAGCACTGCCAATAAACATTCAAAAATGAGTCAGCTCTGGCTGGTTACCTAGACAAGACTGTAACACAAAGCAGCACTTCACTGTCTCACGTTTTGCTGTTCTTTAATACCATCTGAATGTTGATGCTTGAGCAGAAGAAGAACTATTTATCTAATTTTTGAGGAGAGAGGAAATTATGGGATGAAAGAAAACTTAGAATTGGTGGAGTGCTGACGTGCAGTTAGGGTTATACAGCTTGCAATATTGCTGCCATTCTGCTGCCGTGTTGTGCACACTCAGATACTTAGATCATCAGCAGATGGCCCCTGATAGCATTCAGTGGCAAGGTTACAAAATGGAAAACTCGGTGGGTCTGTGCTCGGCACACCATGGCAGAGGAACGTGGAACTGTAGACTTCATATTGTCCTGCTCTTAACTGCTGAAGGGTCCCAGAATGTAGAGCCCAGCCAGGGCTGAAGTTCACGGTCAAGTGGAAAGACGAGTGTGTGAAAGCTGATCTGCCCTGCGCGGCTCACACCAGCCATGCTCTTGCCAAGGTCTATTTGCTTTTGCCTCCCACGTGGCTGTGAGCAGAGAGGGGAGATTCTATTTTACTGTTTATGCTCTGCAGTGGTTTTTGCTATGTATCCACTCCTGCTTTGCACTGTTATTTTGGGAGCCTGGGTTTCCTGGTAAGACAAGATCATGGTTCAGAAGTAGAAATTACATTTACCCTGTCTTTGCTGCATCCCATCTGGTGTATCTGCAGTTCACGCTGGGACTTGGGGGATTTTCATGAAGGTGACTGATCATACCCCAAATCATGTTTTCATGTAGGAACAGGCCAGGGCATATGGTGCTCCTTTATGTCTCCGTGGCAATGTAAATTGTGGCATGCAGGATCCCATAGCAAGCATCTCAGCTCAATCTCTGCAGAGGCACAACAGGAGAACATACGGATTCTATTCAGTGCTAGAAGTTACAAAGGTGTTGTGTGGCTATGGTAGCTATAAGTAGATGTTTTGTACAAGAAGAATGGTGTTTGACCAAGCATCTCTTATACTGATAGATGAACAAAGGTGAAATAATGAAGGACTCCTTCCCATGATAAATGAATAATGAAGTAGGTTTAGAATGACTGGTGCAGCAGATACATGAAATGATCGAACGTGTCGTGCCTCCTAACCACAAATACATCTCCTAGAACAGCTGGAGGCACCAGTTAGGACTCATCCTTCCAGCAAGATGCGACTGGTCCAGTCCATAGCAACACTTCTTGAGTGGATACAGCTCACTGGTATGCTTGCCAAGATGACAAACAAGGTACTGTGCTCTCTGCCTGCTGTCCTGCATATCATTAGGAGCTCTCCCTGCAATGCTTCTTGATTTATGCCATCATTGGCCATCTGAAGTGTGGAGGTTAATTTTGGCTGCTTCTTTGGTGCATCCCTGTGTAGTGGCCTTTGCTGTTTGGTGTTCAGCTCTCAGACTGGCTGAAGATCAGTGGCTACGTGGCAGGTTGCCTTTCTCAGGTTTCCTCCCTTGCATGTGCACTGCGTGCAGCTGCAGGCTCAGCTCTTGTTAGGCTGCAGGAGCAGCCCCGCTGCGTGGGTTCATGTGTGCTTGCTCAGGGTGACAGGCTTATCATGCTGGGGAAGAAGCTGGGCGCCACTCAGGAAAAGGCCAGGTGAGAGGAGAAACACATGAACCACACCTCGTGGTGTGAAGGCACTCGGACCATCCAGCAGACCCTCTGCTCCACGCTAAGTTTCCCTTCTGCTTTGTAGCAGGGGCATGGCTTCTAGGCCAGGACTCGCACTGTGACTGGCAGCAGACATGTGGACGTGTGTAGGCAGTTACACCGCCCTGGATACAAGTGCAGGTGGGGCTAATCTCAAGCCTAACAAAGATTCAGAGCCTCCAACTTCTAGCTGTTGTGCACACATTTAATTTATCTCCGCTGGAGTTTGTGGGGACTCTGCTCTGCATCTTTCTCAGCTCATGGCAGAGAAAATGTCTTATCTGGATGTAGCAATTTTATCTGGATGTGGTTTTTTATCTGGATGTAGCAATTCATGATTAGGATTTGAAGAGAGGACTTACAACAGCTTGGCTGAGTTTTACATACTTATTTTACACTGTCGGCAAAACAGATCAAAGTGGGATGAGCAGCTATAATTTGCTGTCACTAATTATCTGATTAAAACCTCAAACACAATAACTTTTTTATTTGAGTTCAAAAATATGTATTTAGAAAGAGGTGTGTAGAAGAAACATAATTTATTCTCAGAATCATCCTTAAAAAGCAACATTCCATATATTCCTGGATCCTGCTTTCTCTGTAGGTGGGGTCACTGGAGGTGTTCTGCTCAGTGAATCTAGCACTGCCTTTCTAGTGCTTCTTTCCTGCTGCCTTTCAGAATTTGTAGAGATGTATTTTTTACTGAAAGTGACAACTAGAACAAAGGAAGTATGTTTTCAGTGATCTGACTTGGCAAACAGACTGTTTTTATCCCTTGTGTTTAAGTACCACCTGTGTTATGGTGATAAGAACAGTTAAGGAAGAACAGCTGCTCTGCAAGTGTACCTTCATGATTTTGCTGACCACAAAATCTCTCATTTTGCCACGGGGAATGTAGCAGGTAATTCCTTCCACATCGCTTGCTGAGAACCACT